CAAGGAGACACATGATAACTGTTCTCACTTATAAGCCCATTGATAGTTCATTTCTCCTTGTCTCTCTTCACTTTTAACTGTATAATAGGCTTTAAAGTTCAATGAGAGAGTAGCTTAATGAGTAATATACTAAATAAAGAAAAATAGCACTAGCATAACTAAAACTCATACTTAGAGATAATTCATGAGCTTAACTAGTTTGCATGCTTTAACTATGTCATCTGTAAACACAAATTACATTTCTTTCCTAATTTTTTATTATAGGTTGAAGATGATTGAGAATGATATGAAAGTGAGTATTTGCAATAGATATATTAATAAAGGAAATAGTTTAGATCATACTACTTATTGTATTTTAGTAATGGTAATGATTACAAAGACTGCAACAATATACTCAATGGCTGAAATAATTATTTTCTTTAAGTAGCCAAGAGGGATTTATAAGAGGTAAATAATTTCTCATCCTTGCCCAAAGTATATTAAACTTGGGTTGACCAGTATCTTTAATGTATTAATCAATAAGCTCTCATCTGAAAGAATGCTATGTAAATTTATACACCTCTAAAGAAGGCTCCATAAATATCACATGATTTACTGCTGTTTTTAGGAGACAAGTTTCTGGTAATGACTAAAATAGAAAGTGCTTCAGGCAAATTAGTGTGACATATAGAAAATTCAGTACTGGTTGCAAGTAGTTCAATGCTAATAAGATGGTAATGCTAATAATGCATTACCAGTGCTAATAATGCAATACATATCTACATCTTCACTGCAAACATGAAGATGCAGATATGTATGTGTAAATCTATAGAACTATGTTTAGCAATTCAAACTGTGTCTCCACTAGTTAACTAGAAAATAGTGTTGCAAAAGTCACCTTTAATTCTAGCCTGCATTTCTTGTTTTGGCAGACTTACCACATTGAGATATTGTGAGGAAATCTGAGTTATTTCTAAAGCATTTATGAGTTTCCCAGTGGGGACATCCCCAAAAAAGAAAGGCAGAACTATCATAGATAAATAAAATGAAGGGCAGGTAGAATCCACAGACAAATATTAAATTTACTTACTGATAAATTCCTTTTGCATTTAATAACTCTTGTCCTGCCTATGTAGCCTCTTATTGAGATACACTGAATTAGGAGATACAATAGCCTCTTTTTATCTGATATCTATAGGCAGAATTGTCGTTCCCCTCTCATGAGGAATCCACATGTGCTGCCCTCAAAAAACACTCAGATTCGAATTCCGAACATAAACTAGACTCATCCATGTAATCTCAAATCTGGGAATTCCCATATTGATAATTCTATTGAAAGAATACAAGATAACAAAATGACTAAGCCCTATAAACATTAAACAAATATAGAATTTTCCAAAGGTAGACAAAAAAAAAAAAGGAGAAAGAAATTGCTTTAGATCTGAGAACTCTATTGTGATCAACTGAATTTTTTACTCCAATTATTTACTTCTCCCTGTGCCCACTCCCCTCACCATATAACTTTGAAATTTCTCTCAGAAAGGTCACATCTATTTCCCCACCCTTCTGGGTACTTGCTTTTGGCCGGGCGCAGTGTCTGACATCTATAATCCCAGCACTTTGGGAGGCTGAGGTGAATGGATAATCTGAGGCCAGGAATTTGAGACCAGCCTGGCTAACATGGTTAAAACCCATCTCTACTTCTAGGTCCTTAAGGAATAGCATGGGGAGAAATGCCAGATATAGGTGAAGGGGAGGAAGGCAGCAAATTACACTGCCATGCGTGTACCTATGCAACAATGTTGCATGTTCTTCACATGTACCCCAAAACCTAAAATGCAATTAAAAAAAATAAAGAAAAAAAAAATAAAGTCAAAAAAAAAAAAAAAAGAAAAAAGAAAAAACATCTCTACTAAAAATACAGAAATTAGCCAGGTGTGGTTTATATCTGTAATCCCAGTACTTTGGGAGGCTGAGGCGAATGGATCACCTGAGGTCAGGAATTTGAGACCAGCCTAGCCAACATGGTTAAAACCTTTCTCTACTGAAAACACAGAAATTAGCCGGGTGTGGTGGTTCATCCCTGTAGTCTCAGCTACTCAGTAGGCTGAGGCAAGAGAATCACTTGAACCTGGGAGTTGGAGGCTTCATTGAGCTGAGATTGTGCCACTGCACTCCAGCCTGAGCGACAGAGTGCGACTCTGTCTCAAAAAAATTAATTAAAAAACTAAAACTTGCTTTGATCAGGAAGATGCAGGCAGAAGGGTTTGCCAGCTATACACCAACATCTTACGTGGCACTGTGGTTCCTCCTTGCCCTGATGTTCTGTAGCCGTGACCATCGAAATGACTCCAAGCACAGGCAGGAGCTAACCCTGTCCAGTTCTGGAACTAGAAAGAAAGCTACCGAGCTGAGCCCAACCTATATGAAACCTCCCAGCTAATCCATGTGCATGAGATAAATAAATGCTTATGTTTGAAAACCATTAAGAATTTGAGGTTATTTCTTACACAGCATTCTTGTGAAAACAGCTACCTGATACATTTATAAATTAAAGTGAGCAAAAGAAATATTCTTCCCTTCTAGTAATCTGAAAAGAATATTTCTCTCTTCCTGAGATGTAGATTTCATTTATTTACTATGAAAGTCAGCAAATTAATGCCTGATTGATTGAAAGAGTGTTACAGCCAATGACTTCATTCTAGATTGGCCACTGACACTTTTTTCCTCCTTATCATGCTGGCAATCATATTGATTTTCAAATGCTTACCCTTTCTCTACTGTGTTGGGGATACCAATCCCTGTATGACCTCATCTGTAAACTTCTAGGGTTAAGTGATCACTGGTTCTTGAATTGTTCTTCAGGCCACAGCATGGTGGGCAGAAAAGGAAAGCTAAACAATATGAGTGCTAACCTATCAATCAGCACAACTCTGCTTCCATCTGTGTTAGCTATAGATTCTTCATGTGGAAAATCAGTTTTTCTGTTTAAATATCAAGAAGTACTAGACCAAATGCGTTCTAAAGTCTTCTAATACTCAAAGCACCATGATTACATTTTTTAGTTTGACCACCCCCTTTTCTTTATTTCTATTCCCACCACTCTAATTTAAGACAATATCACCTATACTCCTGTAATCACTTCCTAACCTGACCCCTTGCTTTGAGTTGCAAATTGTATCATTTTATTCCCCTGCTTAAAATGAGAGAAAACCCAACTTCAGCAGGGCCCCCAGGCTCTCCCTGTCTCTCCAGTCTCATTTCCTGCCCCACTTCCCCACATTTCATCCTGGCTTAGAAAACACCCTACTCTTTCTCACCTTGGGGTTTTTCTCCCGTGCTGTTTGCTCTGCTGGAAATGCTCGTCCTCTATGCTTTTTGCCCTTCGGTGTCATATTATAAGTCAGCCTCTCAGAGAGACTTTCTTCGATCACCTAAACTACAGCAGGCCTGACCTGACCCCTATCATTCTCTATGACAGCACATTCTTCTTTCTTTGCACTCATGATTTACAGTTATAGAAACATTTGTTGGTTGTTGTATCATCCGACTTTCTACTAAGTATCAGCTCCAGGTGGCCAGGGGTGAAGTTATCTGGTTTATTTTTGTATTTTCAGGACCCAAAGCAGTACCTGGCACATAGTGTATACTCAGGAACATAGATGAGTGAATGAACTAATGAACTTCTTAGCTTTTGTCATCATTTTTTCTGCCACTTTTCTATACCATATAACACTTCCCTAGTCTGTCATTTGTTTATACCTGCTCTCTTAGTTACGGTCCTTAATCCATGCATAATGTTCCTTATGTTCTTAAACATCAGAATTTTCTCTTCAACTTTCTGTACTCATCACACTTCTCTCTTCTTACTTTTTTCATGTGCCAGTGGTCACCATCTGGTAGGTTATGGGAGATAAAGGTGACCCAAAATTTTAGAATTGGATTCTATTTAGGATAAAATTAACAATAATAATCCTTCAATAAATGAGATCAGATACCTGTAGAAGCAAATGCTCTATGCCACCGGACTGAGATGACTGAGGAGTTTGGGAAATACCTAAATTCCAAGCACGATTACCAGGAAATGGTGTTAGGAAAAAACGATAACAAAAGTTATATCCTGGCTAATTGCATTAACCTCCATCAGAAGAAAAAAAAAAATAAGTGCATGCTTTGTGTATAGTCTAGAAAACATGGACACAATGAACAAATAATGTGGAACTCCATTGCTGGAATGTGGGTTTTCCAGCAATGCCTGGAACAGAGAAACAACAGATCTGATAAAGGTAATATTATGATTAGTAGAGAAATGAAGGCTGTGTGGGGGAAACGTATTGGTCACAAGCTCTCACTACAGTTTAAATGCACAACCTAAGAAGATGCTCTGAGAGTAGGCATGAGGCTCCCGGCTGCTGAAAAGAAAGCTCCCTCTGCAAGTGAAAAAGCTGGCATTTCGGCTTAGGCAGTGGTTTCTGGTGAGTTGGTTTAGTATGAGTCAACTTACAAAAATTCAATCTATTCTGGGTGTACTGAAAACATTTAGTTTCTTAATCTGTAAAGCCAAGATGCATACCTTAAACCACAGTTCTGAAAGAAAATGTCTGAGCCTGAGCAGTCAGTAGACTTCCTCGGACTCCAGTTACATCTTGCCAGACTTTCTTTCCAATTCTCATATGAACCACACTCTGTTTCTTATTATTGGCCATGCCTATTACTATCAATCTGTTGATAATTACATGATGTACTTTTGTGAGCACCTGATTACACAAAATGGAATTAAGAAATGCAAACATTTTTTGTCACCGTGGCAAACTGACACTCCTCAGAGCTAAGACACAATGTTGTAGCCTCAGCATACATTTCTGTGAGTGTAGCTCTAGGATTCCCCTTTTACCTAACATTATAAATTTGGATTATGTCTCGGAAAGTTGTTTGAGAGATCATAAGCTGCATGTAGTAAACAGTATATGGGACAATTAATAAAGAAAGGTGTTAGAGAAAAATACCAAAACTTTTCAGACCTGGGATGGAAATCTTGCCCACAGTCGGATGCTCCATCTCCATAACGAGGCCATTGTATAATACCTGAAAAGGCAAAAATAGAGAGAAAAATAATTTACAAAATAAACCTATCTTCAATTGCAAGGTATGGTACAGCCATCTATTCAGTCAACATCAAAGAAAGATACAGCAAAACACAGGGATGTTTAAAATTTTCATTTGAAAGTAAATATTTGAGGTAAAAATAATGTTTCATCTTATAATACATCAAATGAAGCCAAAAAAGACTAGAGGATTTACAGACTAGCAAACATTTCAGTAAGACCTTCCCACTCTTAAAATTTTTATTTGCTCCTAAATATAGCAGATTATTTCCTCTCTTTCATCTATGGATGCTCCCCTAATATTAAAACTCAGACTTTTCCTGCATTATCTCATGATAGGACTTGGCCAAAGTCAAGAAACAGGGCCTCGAACAGAACAGCACACTAGGGTGGCACACATGCTCCTGGAAATCTGTTCAGCAGAAGGTATGGGAAGTCAGACCACTTTGAGGAATAATCAGAGTATCCAGAAGGCTTGGTGACTGCTGGAGGTGGAAGGATTCAGGGTTGCTGTGACAAGCAAATGAGCAGTTAACAGCAAATCCAGAGGAGACCCAGGTCAGAGGTGTGCCCAGGAAAGCTGAACCAGGAACGTTCTCCGTGGTAGTCAAAACCTTAAGCATAAGACTAGAGTTCAGAAATAGGATTCCAGGATCCTGGAGAAAAAAGCCAGAGACTTCATCCCAGAGGCCTGATTAGGTTCTCATGCAATGGGACTGAGATAGGTATCTACTGTGCCATCAAGAACATAAGGTAGCCTTGGCTTGGGATTAAGATCTAAGGCCAGTTACTAGTGAAGGGATGTTCTACCAGTGCCTGACTAGAGAAATGTGACTTGATGCTGAATCACTTGACTACTGAAATGAAGCAACTTAAATCCCTGGCAAATGAAGGCTGGAAATTTTCCTGGGGGGAGGCAAAAAGACTGAAGTGCCCTCTAACTATAGGTGGTGGATGCGCTGAGAGCATAGAACCAAATTCTGGGACATAAGTGTTGAATAATTAGAGGCAAAATGTTCTGTGATACACAAACATAAATGCAAAAAGTTTTTTCTTTCTTTCTTTCTCTTTCTTTCCCTTTCTTTCTTTCTTTCTCTTTCTTTCTTTCCTTTTCTTTCTTTCTTTCTTTCTTTCTTTTCTTTCTTTCTTTCTCTTTCTTTTTTTTAAACAATTAGAGGCTACCTGAGTATACTGTCTCAAAGAATCCAACATCTATTACTAGAACCTCAGTTAAACATTTATGGGCATCTTACATATAAATTGTGTTTCACCTGCACTATCTACCAAGCAGAGAACCTCTCTCTTCCTGTCCTGTACATGCATCTAAAGGACAGAAGTATTTCGGTGGCATATTAATCTTACAGATCACAATTTTATGCCAGTATTCCAAAAAATGGCAGTTATAATGGTTATACAGCATTTTGAGCTTCAGGTAAAAGCAAGATTTGTATATTTACCTTCTTACCATAATCTATTCACAGAGCAAATGAGCATGGAATAAAGAAACTAATAAAAATGTTTTCTCACTTTGCAAAACTCAGAGAAAGAGCTCAAATTTCTTGGGTTTTATTCATTTCTGGTGAGTTTTTGTCACATCATAAAACAAATCATCAATAAGACAACTTCATCAGTGGCTTTAAGTTTAGAATTACAGTTTTGCTATGGCTAAATATTCTGGCTGCCACTGGTTTCTTTGGGAATGGTTACCACTTTTTGGGTGATGCTCTTTAAACGATGTCAACCTCCCTCATTGAGGATGATAACAGACCACACAGAGATTCTCTCTTTTGGGATCACCAGGTTTGTACTCAAGAGCTGGCCAGATAAAATTCTCGCCAGTGTTAGAATTGTGCTATAATTTAATTCTGGTGTGGCTCGTTCTCAGCACCCGCCCCGCACAGCTTCCTTCTATGTGGGGGTGGGGGCTAAATGCCAACGCGAGGTGCTAAATCTCAGTTCTACTGAGGACAGGAACAAAAATACCGAGCTAAATTTCACTCAAAACAATTATCTGCACACTGAATCATTCTTCTCTCCTCGTATCTCTGTTGCCCTCCTGACTACCTCTTTGTAATAACACTGCAGTGCTACTCACGAAAGACAAAAGTGAGTGTTCTTAGCTAAATATAACTTAACTGATAGTGCTGAAATTAATTAACGCTGAATTTTAATCATGTAGCAAACGTTAAGTGTCAAACGTGAAAGGGTAGTTGGTAAAGGTCAAGGGACATATGTCAAAGTTTTGTGAAGCAAAAGCTAACAGCTGATTGAAATTTTCCATGGAAGCAGTTTAAGCAGTGTACCTTCTCTACCCCTATGCTGATTGCTGTCTATATAGGATATTTTCAATATGAAACTTTAACCTTATCAATGCCTTTGCATGAAACCCATTCTGTTTTAAGAAAAAATGTAAATTCTTCTTACATTCGGCAGAGAAAGTTAACTGCAGTTTCTCATTTGCTGTAGCATGCATACAATTATTAGACAGACGGGCTGGTCTGAGCCCCCATGTTCAGAAGGAACTGATATATTCCCCTGCTTGGTTGCCACCCACCTTTTAATATAGAGTGTGAAGTCCATACGATTCCATAGGCTTTCTTTGTGAATCAGGTCAGAATATCCCAGAGAACAATGCCGGCTGTAGCAGTGCTGTCCCTGGAAACCCTGCCTAATGACTTGGAATCTTGGAAAACTCTCCAGCCTGGTTTGTGGGGCGAATCCTGCTCTGCTTAGTAACATATTAGAGGATTTCAGAACCCAGGAAGTCTGTCTGAATTCTAACATAAATCTCTCCTGCTTCATTAACCCTTTCACATTTGACACTTAACTTTGCTACATGATTAAATTTGTCTCCTCTAAACTTCATTGGAATGAAGGAACAACCTGTTACCACCATTTGTATAACATTTTTTGGAGAATGGTAATTAAACGTTTCCTTGTTCTTTTCTCATCTGGCCCCAACACCCCAACCTCTATCACCTTAACCTAGAAATTCAATTTTAAAATGTTTCCTTTTCTAACAATCAACTGCTACAATTTCCCTTAAAATTTTCATGCCTTAAAGAGTTTCATGCCTTGGTGCTAGGTCTGACCATTCAGGGCATTCTTTGTTGCATATTGAGTTATTTCAATATATGGCAGGGAATTTCTCTAGAATTTTGTACTGAATTTTGTTCATTTGGCAATGTCTTTCGTTTTTACTGTTATCTCCTTCGTTTTACTTATTTTACCCTTCCTAGGTCTTTCATGGTTTCATGGCTCTTCTAAATTCCATTTCTTCTCCTTGAAATTCAAAAGCCTATTCTTGACAAGAATAGAATTGTAGACAGTGCGCCAACCTCTTTAGCAAAGTATCAGGCCTATTTAAAATAAGGTCTCTCTCTTTCTCAAGCATTTTACGGATTGACAGCCTAATGACAGAGTCAAATGGTAACGTATTAATGATGGGGGGAAAGAGTAAAATGTATACCTTAAAGTAATGTGGGAAATAAAAGTTTAAATGGAAGTAAGAAAGTCTTTTGATAAAGTCCTATGGCAGAAATGACAGAAGAAAAAAAAATGTAATATAGGACTAGCAAGACAAAAATGCAAAAAATAAAAATCGATACCCTTTCTAGAGCCCATGAAAATATTTGTGGAAAATGAGAGGAATACTCAAATGAAAAGACATGAAATTACATTCACAAATGATATTTGTAAAGACTATACTATCTTTATACATATCAAAATCAAAGTAATACCACCAATGGCATTAGCAATAATGCACAAAAGAGAACTGACCTATCTATTCACTGTGAATACTGATATGAACTATTCATTCAGTACAACAAACACCACAGAGCACGTATATGCTAGGAACAATGAAGGGACTGGCAATAAAAAGATGAATGAACCTGCATTAAAAATGTACGTAATTAGCAGAGAGGGTATAGAATAAGAGAGGTTTTTAATGACAGTCATGTAAATTTTTATAACACAGTTTAAGCTCCTTAACAAAGGAGCAAATCCAGTGAGGGGCAAGTAAGTAACTCTGCCTATCCAGAAAGAAGTTAAATGACCTAGGTCAGGGAGGTTAGTAAAGACTAGAGAACAAACATAACATTGAAATTGGATGTTAAGGTTAAAAACAATGACAAATGTAATAACAGCAGGTGCTGCTCAACAAAACTCCTGAAGGGTCAGACATTGTGTTAGGAGTTAAAGCTTTGTTCATTTAATCCTCTCATTAACCAGACTAGATAGGAATTATTATTACCTTCATCTCTACTGATAAGGTGTTAGAAGCCTAGAGGGGCTAAGCACTTGTCCAAGATTTCACAACTACTAAGTGACTGATCTTGGATTATAATTTAGGTGTGTCAAATTTAGCCAGGTTCCTGGCAGTTGGAGACAAAAAAAGGAAAAAAAAGGAAAAGCATTATTTGATTTACCATTAAAATAACTAGCTGATGTGGTCAATTCTGTATAACAAATTAGTCACTTCGGTGGGGAAAGAAAATCAGCCAAATGGATTACATGGCACCATGTGGTCCTATTAGTTAATAAACTGAGCTGCACCATTGCAGGGAGCCAAGGATACTCTGGCACCACTGATACAAAGGCTTTGAAAACTGGAAGGATTTGAAGGGGATGGACCCAGCGGGTGATCTTGGGCAAGGAACTTAAGTACTCTAAGGCTCAGAATCCTCATCAGTGGCCAGACATGATGGCCCATGCCTGTAAACCCAGCACTTTAGGAGGTCAAGGCAGGCAGATCACCTTAGGTCAGGAATTCAAGACCAGCCTTGCGGACACGGCAAAACCCCATCTCTACTTAAAATACAAAAATTAGACAGACATGGTGGTATGCACCTGTAATCTCAGCTACTCAGAAGAATCGCTTGAACTCAGGAGGCGGAGGTTACAGTGAGTCGAGATCGCTCTACTGCACTCCAGCCTAGGTGACAGAGCAAGGCTCCATTTAAAAAAAAAAATTAAAAG